ACAGTCACCCGGCCCCAAATGTCCGTGTGCTGAGGCCAAGCAACTCAGGAAAGGAGGCAGGCCCTGGCCGTGTGGCTCAGGTCAGGGTGCCGACCTGATGGCCGCGGGGTCGCGGGCAGATCCCCAGCCCCGGGCAGGGCAAGCGAGGGAGGCAGCTAGTCCCTGCGTCTCTCTCAGGTCGGCGTCCCCCCCACTCTCTCTGCAAATCGATGGGAAACAATAAGAAGCTGAGAACCGAGACGCAAGAGGCAGGGAGCCCACCGGGCGACGCTCCAGCCGCTCCGGGGCCCGGGCTCCGAGTCCCTTACCGATGGCGTGGAGAGCAAACAGCCGGTCGAGGGGCCGGATGGCCGCGCGGGCGCTGGAGCCGTTGACCAGCACCGCGAGCCAGTCCCGCCCTTTGCCGTCGATGGCCGTCCTGGGGAACCAGCAGGCGACGTTCCTGCGCAGGCCGTCCTGCCGGTACTCCTGGCACTCCTCCGTCCGCGAGCCGTACCTGAACCGGAGCGCGGCGCGGTTAGGACCCGAGGCCACACCCCCCGGCCGCGCCCGCGGCTACCAACCTGTAGTAGAGGGAATAGCGCGTGTCCTCGGGGGCCGCCTCGCCCGCCCGCCAGCTGCAGCGCAGGGAGACCTGGTAGGGCCGGGAGCGCGTCCCGGGGCTTCCTGCCGTGTGCGTGCTGCAGGTCAGGTTCGCGGCCGAGGTTCCCGGAGACCCTGGGTGGTCACAGAGGGAAGAGCGAGACGCTGTCACCAGAGCTCCCGAGCCTCGGACGTCCCTTGAAACCGGGGGGACGGGAACCGCTGTCCATCCCCAGGACGTGGCGGTCGTCACGTGTCCACCGAGTCCCACTACGGGCAGAGGGCCAGCCCACGGGGGGACGGAGCCTGGGCCCGGCCTCACCTGGGGGGGCCGGCAGCTCAGCCGACACCCAGCGGCTGGCCGGGGCCGCCGGGTGCTCCCAGGGGATGGTCCGCACGCTGGCCCGCAGGCCCCCGTGGAGCGTGGTCACGCGCTTGCTCTCCGTGTTCCTGGTCTGGTACTAAACACAGACCCCGAGTCAGGACAGAGAAGGGGGAATGCGCGCTTCCTTCCAATTAAATGGCCCGAAATGCCAGGAAATCAGTGTGCTGAAAAATTAAGCCCGCAGGTCCCTGCGTATAGGCTTAACCCCGGGCTCAGTACGTCGTATACTTTAAACACCTACAGCTGTTTACACGCCAATCACCCCTCCAAACGGGGGCTTTTAAAAATGAATAAATTACCCAATTCTAGTATTTATACGTGTTTTTAAAAAACAAAACAAAACAAAAAAACCAATATAATGAAAACATCGTAATCAGTTCCTCAATGATCCAGGGGACACACTTTTCTGACAAAAACAAATTAAAGGGGACACACGGCCCCGGCTCCTCTGACCACCGTCTCTAGGTCCAGCTTCCTCCCGTAGGTAACTTTTCACAGAAAATTTCCAGAATCCCGTATTGACCAAAAAACAGTTAATGCTGTGCAATCGTGTGACCCTTTGTTTAGTTTACGGGTCACCCGCTAGGTAGCAGGCGTCTAACGGGCCCTGCAGGTGCAGCTCCGTGGTCAGAGCGCCGGCCGCCCACCAAACGCCTCGGGCTCCGCCCCGGTCAAGGGCCCGTCCCCGGGTCACAGGTTCAGTCCCCGGGTCACAGGCTCAGTCCCCGGGTCACAGGTTCAGTCCCGGCCCGGCTGGGGCGCGTGTGGGAGGCAACCGGTTCGTGTGTCTCTCTTTCTCCCCCCCGCCCCCGCCCCAAAAAGCAATGGAAAAAATCTTTGGGGGAAGATTAACCAAAAAATTAAAATAAAATAAACTAAAAAGACAAACGAAGAAGGGACACCGACGTCTTCCTCTTCGGGTCCGCGGATCCTCACGTGGTAGCCCAGCCGGACGCTCCTCTGCTCCTGGTCGGGATTCGGGGCCCAGCTGAGGAGAACTTGCGCCAGACCCGTGACTTGCACGGTGAAGTTCACGGGCGGGAGAAGGGAGGCTGGCGGAAGGAAAGGCGGGTGACACAGGTTCAGTTTTACAATGTCCCACTGTGCTGCGGTGTTTCATGGGGGCCGTCAGGATGTACAGAGCTGAAACCATTCTGGAAGAAGCTCCTTTAAAGCTGCTTTTAACTCAGCTTTTATTTAAATATGTTTTTATTGACTTTAGAGAGAGGGAGGGAGAGGGAGACAGAGAAACATCAATGATGAGTCACTGACCGGCTGCCTCCTGCACGGCCCCCTGGGGATCGATCCCGAAACCCGGGACCTGAACCCGACCTCCTGGCTCCTGGGTGGACGCTCAGCCCCTGAGCCCCGCCGGCCGGGCAGCTTTTTTTTTTTTTTTTTACTTTGCCCAGGAGTTTGCTGATACTGTCCACAGATCTTTCATCGAAACCTGGATATTTCACTCTATCACTATTTATCAGAAACGCAGTATTTGCACTGAGGGTCATCACCCGGGAACCGGCCGGCATAACACACTGGTTTGCTGCCAGCAAATTTTCTAGTGACACCGAAGAAAACAGAACAGAAAAGACCCCAGGGTCCCACTCCGTGCGTCAGACACGGTGAGGACGTCCTGTTCCGCGAGCCCCCTCTTCCCGGGACGCGCGCCTCTGTGTCCGCGTGTCTGCCGGCCCACGGCGTGAAGTGCATTTATTATGACTCAAAGTCAAAACAAATTTGGGAGCAAAACGACTTAAATAGTCACTTCAGAAGGAAAAAGTGTGTTTTTCCTCCAGTGAAACACTCTCTAACTTTGCTTTCAAAACAGCAGCTTTTATTTCAGTTACAGAATCTGTGTCTGTTCGGTCTAGAAAATTTTAAAAGCACCGATGAGGNCGTGTCTGTTCGTTCTAGAAAATTTTAAAAGCACCCATGAGGGGAACAAAGACAAACCAACTACAATCCCACCGCTGAGAAAACACTAACATGACCTGCTCTGCCCGGGCGTATGTCCATCAAACCTTTCCCATTTTTTTCTAAAGTTAGGACAATATTGTGCCAAAGTTATGAAACCTCCTCTGGTTCGCTTGCTGTGGGGTCAGGACGTGTCCGTTGACCGTGAGCATCTCACGGCCTTCGGTGAGGTCCCGTCCCCCCCGGGCCCCACCCACACTGCACTGGGCATTGTGGTCACCACGGGCCCCGTGTGGATATTTAAATTTAAATGAATTTTTTTTTAAAAAATAAAATCTTCATTGCCTCAGCTGCAGGAGCTGCAGAGCTCAGCAGCCCCCAGCGGCCAGCGGCGCCCACGCTGCGCAGTGGGGACGTAAAGCGCAGCCGTTACCGGGGAATCCTCGTGGCCGACACGAGGCAGGGGCCACGGGACAGTTCTGTTTTCTTAGATCTGTCATCAAACCCAACCCATCGACCAACAGATTTCCGAGCCAAACTCAGTGGGAGCCGGTGATTCCTCGGCTGCGGGGCCTCCGACTGCTCCCCCGGGGAGAGGCGTCCGGAGGCGGCCACCACGCCCGCTCCGTCCCGGGGGCTGCGTTCTGTGGAGGCCGCGGGCCCGCCCTGCAGAAGCCCTTCCGCCGCGTGGTCAGCTCTGCGTCCCGGCCGACCTTCCTCAAGGTACAGCGCGTTGAAGGGTCCGCGTTCCGACCGGGACAGATTCTCTACCCCCTCCAGGAAAACCCGCCTGTCGTTTCCCGAGGGAGGATCATCTAGCGGAAAACAGCGCTAGCAGTTTTGTTACGCGCTGGCTTTTCTTAGGGACATTATTGACTTGAATAGGTGGCACTTACAATTAGTATCGGGAAGTGCGTCTGCTCGCAGGATCGCGGTGGCTCCCAAAAGCATCAGTAATGTGGGTGCCATGGCGATCAGATCTGCAGAAAACAGAGAAATGGTCGTTTTATATATAAATGTATCTTTATTGACTTCAGAGAGAGAAAAGGAGAGGGAGAGAGAGAGAGAAACATCAATGATGAGAGAGCCATTGATCGAGCCCACAACCCGGGCCTGTGCCCTGAGCGGGAATCGAACCCCGATCGCCTGGATCCCAGGTCGACGCTCAGCCGCTGAGCCACGCCCGGCCCGACCGGGTGAAATGGTCATTTTTAAGAAAAACCGACAGTTTTTTCTTAAAACTGCTTCCTAAAGTAAAACGTAGTCACCCGACCATTTAACAAACATTTTTGAACAATCTGGTAGGTGCTGGAAATACAAATAGGAGCAGATCTCGTCTAAGGAGCAGAATGAAACCTAAAGTAATTGTCGTCCGATCAAAAAATGGCTCCGATGAAGGTGCGTCTGGGGCACCGTAGGAGCAGAGGGACTTCGGAGTTGACTCCTAAGGGCTTCGCGCGCAGAGGGGGGCGGGTGTTGCTGGGGCAGACGCGGCGAGGGCAGAGCCGGAGCCCAAGGAAGCAGGAGGGCGCGGGCNCGGGCGGGCACGGGCGGGCACGGGCGGGCACAGGAGGCCAGGGCCGACCTGGGGCAGGACGCGCTCAGGCGCAGCTCATCGCACAGAAAGCAAACACTCCCCATTTTCATTAGTGAGAATTCAGGAGGAGCCAACGCGACAAGAAGCTTAAACCTAAACTGTGGGAGAGAGAAATTCGTATCACGGCCCTAAAGACGCCTGAGATGCCCGGGGCCAGGGGGAGGCCGAGTGAACGGAATGGGAGACCCCAAGGGAACTGAAAACACGGCGTCGGCCTGGAGGAAATTCCTGTTTCTGCCTACATGCAACGACTGGACAGCGGAAATGAACTCAGAGGGCAGAGGCTCGGATCGGTCGGCGTGGGCAGTGGGCCTGGCTCAGTCGCAGCCGGGTCTGGGTTCGCAGGCCCAGGGGGGGCTGAGGGGCTGTGGACGAGGCACCTGAGCGCTTCCTCCGCCGACGCTGAACGGCCTTTTCTTATGAACGTAACTTTAAAGAACAAGCCGCCCTCGAGGCCTCCGCCTGGTGCCTGTCGCCCGGCTCCCACCCGTCAGCCCCCCGCGATCCCTCTGGCTCCCCACCGATGGGGCACAGGGCTCGTCCAGTTTATGATGGTCGCTCGCCAAAGACCCAACGGCTGGCGCGTGGTGGGGCTCAGACCCAAGCCCGGGTCCTCCCCCGGCGGCGCCTCTGCGCTGGGCTCATTTAGACCATCTGCCGTTTCTAGTTTCAAACGGCAGTTAAGTGGTTTGGTTTTTCCCAAATGTAATTCTGGTGGAACCACAGCAGCCAGACGTTGGCTCAGTGGATACGTTCAGGAAATAACCAAAAAACACTCTTTCTTCATTATGACATCTTAACTTATTACGTAACTGACTGAATTCAGCACCGTCGCTCCTGAGCTTCTGGTGAGACCGGCCGGCGTCACGGCGTGGAAGCCGCAGAGCACATCCGCGGCCCGGTTCCTCGGAACAGGCTCAAGTCGCCGACCAGCCCCGCGCCGCTTCCGATAAAATAAAAAGCCGCTTCTCTCCCGCCCACGACCCCGCACCGCGCAGGACAAGAGCTTTGAAGTGAACGGTGACCGTGACGAGGAAAGCAGACGTTTTTATATCCTTAGGCTGTTCACCGAGCGAGATTATTAGTAAAGCCACGGGAAGCGTTAGCATTGGCTCAGCCCCAGGAGCCAAGATAAAAACAACAAGGCGCTTCCCCTTCCCCGGAGGCTGCGGCTTGGACGCGTCAGCGTTTCCTGCGGGGCTGCCCCTCGTGCCCGGCTCTGTGCTAGCTCCCAGGTCAGGGACCCGCCGGCGCCCACCCGCCCCCCGCCCGGCGGAGCGAGCGCCCGTTTCCACCACGTTGGGAACGTGTCTGTTTAAGCGCCGCAGGTGAAGGGCTGCAGCCGGCGGTGAGACCCGCGGCCCTGCCGGGCGGAGGCCGCTGGACCCTTCACAGAGCCGGGGACCCTGCCCCAGACTGTCACCTACTCAGGTTTTGCAGCTGCTGAAAACAGAACTGCTTTCCGAATGTCATCATTCAGACGTTTCTTGGTGATTAATCTCTTTCGCCATAAAACAGCCGTATACTTTTTTTTTTTCCTTAACATGTCATTGTGATATTTTGTATTGGAAAAGTCGGTGCCTTTGAAAGAAGATTCGTTCTTCCATAGACAACCCAAGATGCTCAAATAGGAATCTAGATAGCGCCACGAATGACCACGTTTTGTAAGGCGGGTCCATTCCCCAGAGGCCGGACAGCCCGGAGCCTCAGCAATGGACCGAGTGCCGTCTGTAACTCTGTCCCCTCTGCTCTGGCCCCTCCGAGTACCCCAGCATCTGCCCGGGACCCCTTAATGGTTTTGGTCCCCGACATAGCAACAGCCCCTGCTGCAAAAACAACCCGAATTTCTCTGTCCTTTGGGCCATCGCTTTCATCCAGACACACACTGTTGTGTAAATGTCAACGGGGCGACGTTTCCCGGGACGAGAACAGAGCTGCTCCACTGGCTGACAAATCACCTCGAACGACAGCACGGCTGCCCCCTGAGATCCAGCCGAAAGCCATTAAATTGTTAACATAAGACTCAAATTAAGCAGAGGAAGCAGCCCCAGGTCGCGCCCCCGACACGGGCCAGACACGCTCGGTTTCTTGGCTCGTGAGCTACGTGTTCATGCGACACGTCCCTGAGCGGCGCAAAAATCCCTTGAGTGCCTCTGCCCGGCTCTGGCAGGTGTCACAGGCCTTCTAGGAAGTCGGGTGAAGTCCTGACCATGGGGGGCAGGGGTTCCCCGTGTTCCTGAGAACTGGCCGAATTCTCCCGAAGTTCAGACTGATAAATACCGTCCCATCCCGGTCACCGTTCAGCTGACTTTGCCACCTGGGGCATTTGTTTGGTGACCAGCGTTGCACTTTGCGGGGCTCTTTTCGGGTCTTTCTGAGTCAGAGGGGGTGACCCCAAACTCGAGCTGCGACCTCGGGGCCCAGGAGGTGGAGAGAGCAGAGGATTCACGCTCCATTAGGCCTTTGGCCCGAAGCGTCTGCTTGAACTTCCCCGTGTTTCCTGTGCAGTGGAATCAGCAGCAAAGCCTCTCTCGGGGGAGGGGGTCCGTACAGAAACTCGGTGTAAAATGCCCGTTTTCGCTGGCATATTGCATCACCCCCCCCCCGAGGAAAAACTGTGCACACTCCAGAAAACACCGAGGAGCAACAAGGACCGTGTATAATGCATGCAACTGGTTTTTTCTTCCTGCTCCTAGATTCTGATTAATTTTCTGAAATAGCCCTAAAATGTCACTCCTGGGTTCAAATTGATGCCACAGGTGTGAACCTCTCCAGCCGAGGCAGGAAGGATGCCGCCCTGCCCATGGGGGGGGGAGGCGTTT